CCTTTTAGTAGCAAGAGTGTGCGATTCTTGGATTTCTTGACAGGAACATTCTGTGGCTTATCATTAACAAACTTACACAGAAATCAAAATGGCAAGTGTTCCTGAGAAACTATGTTACACCTCAATTTTGAGCTGTTTTTTGTGCTGTCGATTGAAGAGTGATGTTCTAATCCGTTTCAAGGAAAAATGGTGCCTCTGTAGTTAACGTGAGCCACTAACATGGGTGTTCTATGTTTTTAACCGTATCTTTCAAAATAATTGCAGGCTGAAGAAAATAGCACAGAGAATTTGTATGTACTCTTCACTCAGACTTTCCCCAAAGTAACACTTGGCACAACTTTGTTAATCACTTGTTCTCTTCACACACACACACACACACACACACACACGGAATTGTTTCTGAGATATTTGGGAGTAAGTATGGAGTGTATATAGCAGCCAGTACTTCCCAAAAGCATGGACATTCTCTTAACTGCGGCACGGTAATCAGAGTCGGGAATTAGCCTTGTTACGATTTTACTGGAATATCTTCTGCAGTGTATCATTTGTCCACTGATGGCACTTCCCTGGTGGTGACCACATGTTGCATTTCCTTGTCTTGTCTCCTTACGCCTTTTAGTATGGGAGAATTCCTCAATCTTCCTTTGTCCTTCACAACCTTGGAACTCCGCGACAGTAGGTTTTATTATTTGTTCTGTAGAATATCCCTCAGTGTGGGTTTGTCTCATGTTTCTTTACGCTTAGATTCGGTTTGCATTTTTGGCCAGAAGATCAAAGAAATGGTGTTGTGGTTTTTGTTTTTTTTGTTTTTTGTTTTTTTTTTTGTTTTTTTTGTTTTGTTTTGTTTTGTTTTGTTTGTTTGTTTGTTTGTTTGTTTTTGACAGGCAGAGTGGACAGTGAGAGAGAGAGACAGAGAGAAAGGTCTTCCTTTTGCCGTTGGTTCACCCTCCAATGGCCGCCGCGGCCGGTGTGCTGCGGCCGGCGCACCGCACTGATCCGATGGCAGGAGCCAGGAGCCACGTGCTTATCCTGGTCTCCCATGGGGTGCAGGGCCCAAGCACCTGGGCCATCCTCCACTGCACTCCCTGGCCACAGCAGAGAGCTGGCCTGGAAGAGGGGCAACCGGGACAGAATCCGGCGCCCCGACCGGGACTAGAACCTGGTGTGCCGGCGCCGCTAGGCGGAGGATTAGCCTAGGGTGTTGTGTTCTTAACAGTCTCTTACAAGACGTATGATTTCAGATTTCTCTTCTTAACCAGTGATGTTGACTTTGACCACATAATTAAAGTGGTTCCTGCCAGATTTTTCCATTGTACTGTTAGTGTTTTTCCCTAATTAATAAATAGTTTTGGGGGCAAATACTTTGAAGCTATTAAGTATCCTGTTTCTCATGCTTTCTTCCACTGCATTTATTTATTAATGTTTCTGGCCTGAAAAAATTACTCTTCCTGCCTTCCAAGTGGTGGCTTTCTAATTCTACCATCTCTGCCACATGTTTTAGCTGGCAGAGCTCTTCCTTCTACCCATCTATTTACTTATTTATCTCAACATGGATTCATGAAATCTTTTATGTTTGCGCATATATTCCTTTTTTCTTTTTTTTTCTCACATTGCTCTGTATTTGACCAATGGGAGCCCCTGTCAGCTGGTTTCTGTGTCCCGTGGGCAAGCCCTCATGCTTCTCCATGCATTTCCCCAATTCCTGAGTCCACAGGAGGTTCCAGGCCAAGCTTATGCAGCGCTCCATCCCTGCCCCTAGCCATTTCTCCCAGGAGCTCTGGGTCTTCTCCTTGGAAAGTGGTACTTAGAGATGATGGCTTCGGTGTCAGGGGTGCTCCTTGATTTTCCTTTTCCCTGCAGTCATTCTAGGCCCCTCAGCAGACAGAACTAGAAAATGTATTTGCTATGTTTGTATCTATCAGTGTGCGCACAAGGATAGCCATTTCTCTCTCTCTCCCTCTCTTCCTCCCCCAACCCGTGTGTGTGTGTGTGTGTGTGTGTGGAGAGAGACAGAGAATGAGAGATAACATTATAACTTCAAGCACATACTGATGTCATTCTAATTATTTTTCTAAACTCCCAGAGTTTATTCTAGGCGTCTCCCTTTACTTCACAATCCTTCGCCATCCATCCCTCTGGCACAGCGCCCACCTGCGGCGCCAGCAAACAGCATTTCCACGGACTGTTCGGCTGCATCACTTGCTCCTGCCTCTGCACTTCCACACGCCCACACTGTCCTCTGAGGATGGGTGTGAACCCTAACCTCCCTTTCATTCCCACTTTGCACTGGGTGCAGAGAGAGATGGAACTCCACAGGAACGAACGCTCGCCTGGCTTTTCCCTGCATCTCACGTAACCTTCTCAGCACATCACCCCAGGTTGCAGACTGTGGTCCTGATTCTGAGTTGCAAAGACAAAAAAACAGAGATATAATTCCAAAGGACTTGAAAGGAAAAGAGAATTTCTAGCTTATTATGTGAGTATTAACTTATATAACTGAGAAGTCCAACGTAGGCAGAACGGCCACTGTGGTACAACTACAAGCCGGCACTCAGACAAGGTCATCCTGGCCACACCTCACCAGGCGCCTGATCTGCTGCGGCTTTGGTCTTGGACTTCTCTTCTTTCAGGAGCCTGAGAAACCAATTCCGTGTTCATAAGCCACACAGTGTATCGGATCAGTCCCAAAGGATGGCGCTACCCTGAAAACTAGGAAACATTGCTAAAAGAAAGAAAAAAAGGTACAAATAAGTGTAAAGACAGATTGTGCTCAGGGACTGAAGATTTTGTCTGAATGCCCATACTACTCAAAGCTATCCACAGATTTGGCACAATCCCTATCCAAACCCTCCTGGCACAATCATCTCTTAAAGGTCTCACCTCAATATGATCGCATTGGCCATTAAGTTTCAACACCTGAATTTATTTTTTAAAATGATTTATTTATTTATTTACTTATTTACTTACTTACTTATAAAGCAGAGTAGTAGAGAGAGAGGGAAAGGGAGAGACACAGAGAGATCATCTAACCTCTGGTTCACTCTTCAAATGGCTGCAATGGCCAGAGCTAATCCAGGCCAAATCCAGGAGCCCAGACCTCCATCAGGTCACAACATCCCATGTGAGTGTCAGGGACCCAAGCACTTGGGCCATCTCCTGCTGCTTTCCCAGGCGCACCAGCAGGGAGCTGGATCAGAAGCAGAGCAGCCAGTGTTCACACTGGCACTTTGCTATGGGATGCTGACATCCAGGTGGCATTTTAACCCACTGCACTGCTACACTAGCCCACAGTACCTGAATTTTGAAGGGAACACATTCCAACCAAGGCAGGCAGTTACCAGGACTCAGGGAGGGGAACAGGGAGTCAGTGTTTAATGGATCAGAGCTTCAGTTGCGTGAGAAAACACTGTTGCCCAACAATGTGAATATACTCATGTTGAACATTAGAAACTTACACTTACAAACAGTTAAGATGCTAAATATAAGGTTATATATTTTTACCATATAAATGCAAAGCACAAAGCACATCAGAATACCTTATAGATTTAATTGCAGATATCTGTTTTGATTGTTTATGAGGTACTTCATAAAGTATAAAAGAAAATTATAAAAGAAAATTAAAATATAAGTCTAATAATTGATTACTTAATTATTTATTTAGAGAGAGATAAAAAGAGTTCCCATCTGCTGATTCAGACCCCAGATGCCCCCTCCGTGGTTGGGGTTGGGCCAGGCCAGGGCTGAAAGCCAGGAGCCTGATCCAGGGACACAACGTGGAGTGGCAGGGACCCAGGGACGTGAGCGATCACCTTCCAGAGTGTGTGTTAGTGGGAAGCTGGCATCAGCAGTGGAGCCGAGACTTCAACCCAAGCACTCCAATGTGGTACATGGATGTGCCCACCCGTGGCGTAACCACTAGACCAAACACCGACACTGATAAATTTATTTTGATGCAAAGTAGTTGAAATCCATGCAAAGTTTTTCAGAATAATAAGCATTCCCATGAACCCACCAAAGCATGTGCACATACTGCGTTGATATAAAATTGGTCTCTTAGTCACGCTTAGAAGAGTTGGAAAAGCAGTGGTTCTTATTCTTTGCCCAACTGCCTGCTGGCTCATCTGCATTAGATTGTCTTTAAGGGGGAGGGGCTTGTTAAAGTGCAGATTCCAGGGCCCGCCCACTCTGAATCTCAGTCTGCACTGTAAACCAGTTCCCTGGTTCTGCTCTAAGTTTCTGCACCTAACCTCTGACTCTGGGCCAAGCGCAGTGTTTTGTGCTTCAGGGGTGCTGTCAGCTCATTAACAAGGACGAGGGAGGTGAGTTGTGGGGAGGGCAGCTGTGGATGCCATTCAGGCCAGCAGTGAGGCGCCCACCAAACCCCCAAATGCAGCCCCTCGCTGCCTGTGTCTGGCGACACCAGCACTCAGATCTGCGGTCCTCTCATTTCAAAAATCAAGGCTCACTGACCAGGAGAATTTCATGCAGAGCTGCCCAGGGTCGACTGAGACAACCTCCAGGACAGCTCTGCGCCTCTGGTCCTTGGGCACCCTCGCTCCCCATGACCTGCTCGCTCCCTGCCGGACCACTGGGATCTTCAGTATCTCAAGGGTTGTCAGAACAGGTGCCCTGAGTAGCCTGTCCCAGGGACATCCCTCTTCCCCCTGCTTCTCGGGTAACACCCTGGCTTTTCTCTAGAAAAAGGCTTCTTTTTTTTTTTTTTTTTTTTTTTAATAAAAAATTATAAAATTTCCGTAGAATGGCCTCATTCCCGCAGTCAGCTCAGCAGCCACTGAGAGTTCCTGGAAGCTAGCAAGGGTCTGAACTTGAAGAAAGCACAAGATGGGTTTCCTTTCAACCCTTAAAATGGATGTCAGGAACGGCCACCTTCATTTTCACGTCCCCGATTTTTATTTCAACACGACTCCCTGGGAGGTTGGGCTGAGTCATGGTGACTTACTCAGCACTGAGACCAAATGCCCTTGCTTTGAACCAGCATACAGACAGAGAGCCAGCAGTGCACCTGGAATCTCCCCGAATACTGAAGCCTTCCATGGCACGTCTGCCCTCGATTCCATTAGTCCTGGGACCCCGTGCACTTCCTTCCCTTGCTGTGCCCATCAGACATCGCCTTAGCAGGTAAGCCTCTATCAGCTGAGCAGCATGGGGCCGTGGATGACTTGGGCTCCTTAAGACGAGGGGACCGTTAACTTTGTGTGTCCATTTGGCTGTGTCACAGTGCCCGGATATTTGGTCAAACATTATTCTGTATGTGGGGGTGTTTTCAGATGAAATTAGCACGTACCTCAGTGGGCTGTGAATACGGCTGATTGCCCTTCCTAATGTGAGTGAGCCTCAGCCAATCAATTGAAGGTTCGAAGGGAGGGTAGAGCAGTCACCAGAGGGTGGCCGTGGACTTCATCTGCGGCGCTGGTCCTACAGCAGGCAGACTGCCTTTGGGCTCAAACCGTGACTCTTCCCCGAGGCTCCAGCCTGCCAGCCTCCTCCATCAGATTGTGAACTTGCAACCCCGTGAGCCGATCCCTGTGCTGCCTCCCCAGCTAGGGACACACAGCCTGCTGGTCCATGTTTCCCAGGAGGACTCTGACTACAGTCAGGGAGAGGACTCTTTCCACCGCGCAGTCTCCCCCACACCAGGGGAACGGGAGAGTCCTTGGGTTTTCTCTGTGGCGTGTGTCGGCAGTAAAGCTAGGTGTGATGAGTTATGCTCTTGGCTGTTCCCTAAGTAGTCCGACTTTTCCCAGGCGCCCTCTCCCCTTGAAGAGCACTGACAGAGTCCCCTGATTTGCATCCCCAAGGAAAGCCCCTCTACTCTAATTTAAAACCTCTCCAGTTACTCCCAGAGGATCCTAGGCGGTCTCTCATGAAGATCTTCAAAAGCGGGTTCCTGTCACCCCTGGTTAGCCTATACATGAGGTTCCGGACAGGTCTCACCATGGCAGGAACATGCTGTCCCCTGAGGACCTCAAGCTGCCTGGCTCTTGAGAAGTGATGCTCATTCTGCCACCTTGGCTGCGTTTAAGTGGCCTGAGTCCCAAGCAGGAGTGTGGCTGTGCCATTCTACTGGCCATGCCCGTGGAGTCCGTGAGAGACATCCTGCTCCCTCCCTCCTCCCCTCCCTCCCTCCCTCCAAAGGCCTGTGCATAAGCGGGACTGTCCAGCCCTCTTCCTTGCTGGCACGTTCACGTAGGCAAACAGATTCTAATAGACTTCTGGCGCAAGCCCAGAGAGTCAGGATCCCCAGGGCAGGCACAGCACAGGGGAGTGGGCTGCTCACTTACCTGAGTCGTGGCATACACGTGCGAACTGAGCCTCCCCTCGGTCCTGGGCGCTTGTACAGGTGCCCAGCAGTTCACTGTTGGGTGTAGGCTGCTCCATCTATGCCTGGGGAGATGGGAACTGAGCAGAAGGCACCCATCGAGTTCTTTGTGATGCGCTCCATGTGGGAATAGGAGGAGCTCAACCTGGAAGTATGCAAACGCCTAACCGATGCTGCTCTTTCCATTGCTCACCCTGTGGAAGGGGCTGGCTGTAGCTGGGAGGGAGAAAGTGGCAGCTAGCGGGAGCTTCCTCTTGGTGGGCTCTTTAGGCCAAGGTCGTTTGGAGGCCATGGTAGTGGGGAGCTGAATTCTCCGTACCTTCCCTGAGCTCATGGGTACCCAAGGGCCTTCTCTCCACTGAGACCAAACTGATCTTTGCAAAACCACAATTTGGATTGTGTCCTGCCTGGGCTTACAGCTCTACTCACTTCCCAGGCGAGGGCTTACAATGAAAGCTTGAATCCCTAACGCGGGCTCCCAAGCCTTCCATGTCTGGACCTTTCTCTCTCTCTCTCTTTCTCTCTCTCTCTCTCTCTGTCTCTCACCAGGCTTCTCAGCCTGGGTCCTCCACCACGTCATCCCACCCTGGAGCCCCACCAAGCCGAGACTCTCCTTCAGCCCCGGAGTGCACATGGCTCCTCCCACATGACCCTTACCCTCTTTGCTCAGCGCCTGCCTGGGGAAGCCTTTCTCCCTGGCTCCCCCGGCCTGCCTGTTACCTGCCCTCACCATTCACCATGCCACGTCCAGGTCCTTGTTCTCTTCACAGCATTCATTCACTCTACAATCCGAGTCTGCTTGCCTACCACCCACTGACAAGTTCCTGGCAGCCAAGTCCCTTGCACAAGGCGGAGGCCAGGGGGGGCCCTCCACACGCATCTGCTGAGCGACATAGCTGCAGGAGCCATCTGCTGCCCTGATACTTCAGCGAGGTGGTCTGGTAACACTATTATCTACCACGGAGGCGTGTTGGGAGGACTCAGGTGGGTGAAGTCTGGAAGGTGCTTAGGCTGCAGTTGGCCTTGGGGGAGGCTGTGTAACAAAGGCAGCCATGACCGCTAGTGCTCCACAGCGGATGCCCTACCAGCCAGGGCTGGGGGAGCATTGGGCTCCAAGCCTTTGCAACACTGTGCGTCAGCAAAGACCTTTAGAGGGAGCTGGTGTTCTAGTGCCGCTCAACACAATGGCTTAAAGTCATCATTTCTTTGGTTCATGAGTCTGGGGCTTGATGGGCTCAGCTACATGGAGCTTGCTCTCAGTGTCTTCATGCCTGTGTCCAGGGGTCCCCAAGAATCCCCCCATCCTCTCTCTCCCTCTCTCTCTCTCTGTCTCCCTCGCTCTCTCGTCTAAGCCACATGACTGAACCTTCTTACAAGACAGTTGGACTGAAGGTTCCCAAATAAATGTCCCAGAAACCTTGGTGTCCTTGTGAACCTATGTTTTCTGTTGGTCCAATCACAGATAGACTCAAGGAAAGAGACCCCAGGCTCCACTGGTTGATGATAGGAGTGTCACAGAACTTGTGCACCTGTTTAAAACCTCCACCATTTTAGCAGAATAAGGAAAAGCCAGAAGAGGGGGCCCACGGCCTCTTGGGGTTGCAACGGTGCTTCTGAGTTAAATATCAAAATATGAATTTATATGTTAAACACCAAAATGTGAATTTATGTCTTTAACGCCCTCGTGAGAAAGAATTTCACCAGCCAATATTCATAGCCGTCACCAGCTTTAAAATGGGCAAAGCCTTCCACTGTGAGACTTGGGTGTTGGTGGAACTGTTTACCTAGCTGCAAGGAAGAACCATAGTTTCCTTCCAGCACTTTCTGGCAACCAGGAGAATGCTATTTTCCATCATATCAGGTGGGCTGTTCTTTGTTGCCTTTTTCCTTCAGTGAGGAGTGTCTCCAAACATTCACAACTACTGCATAAATAAGTACACTGGTAAACACAGCGCTGGCGAGAGTTTTGGGAACACTCAGATGTTGGCTTGCAATGTTGCAAACAGAGCTGCATATGGAGATGCCATTACCAGGGTTTGCTCAATCAGCAGGTGCTGGCACAGGGAGTAGGCAGGCAGGGGTGGACAGAAGGAAGGCACTGCCAGGGAGCCACGGCACCAACGATGGGGCAACTAATGCCAAGAAACCCTCAGCTGCTGTACGTGTGCGCTGAGTGTGCAAGTGTGTCAGGAGACTGACATTGAGCCCTGGCCCCACATGGTGAAGCCTTTGGTGTGTGTCCATTATTCTGGGAGTGTTTCCACTAGCCTCTGTCATGTGCAGGTCTTAGTCTGTGTGCTGGAGGTTGTGAAGTGAGTCTTTGATGGAGAAAGTGATCAGGATTAAAGGCTGCCCAGTTTACTCCTTTTTTTTTTTTTTTTTTTTTTTTGACAGGCAGAGTGGACACTGAGAGAGAGAGAGAGAAAGGTCTTCCTTTTGCCATTGGTTCACCCTCCAATGGCCGCTGCAGCCAGCAGCACCGCGCTGATCTGATGGCAGGAGCCAGGTACTTATCCTGGTCTTCCATGGGGTGCAGGGCCCAAGGACTTGGGCCATCCTCCACTGCACTCCCGGACCACAGCAGAGAGCTGGCCTGGAAGAGGGGCAACCGGGACAGAATCCGGCGCCCCGACTGGGACTAGAACCTGGTGTGCCGGCACCGCAAGGCGGAGGATTAGCCTAATGAGCTGCAGCGCCAGCCCCCAGTTTACTCCTTAAATGACCACAATGGCCAAGGACAGGACAGGCCAAAGCCAGAAATCAGGAGCTTCGTCTGGATTTCCCATAGGAGTGTAGGGGCCCAAGCCCTTGGGCCATCTTCTACTGCCTTTGCCAGGCACGTTAGCAGGGAGCTGGATCAGAGGTAGAGCTGCTGGGACTTGAACTGGTGCCCATGTGGGACGCCAGCGTTCCCAGTGGCTTTATCTATTATGCCACACTGCTGGATCTGGAAATGGGGGCTTCTGAGCTGAGACTTGAAGAATTAGAAGGAAGCTGGCTGTAAGAACCTTGGGGAAAAGCCTTCTAGCCACAGGGACAGCAAACCCCGAGGCGCTGGGATGGGAGAGTGGCCCAGTAGGGAAGGCTGTGACACTGGAACAGGTTGGCCAGGAGTGGGAAGGCCAGAGGTGAGGCTGGAGACTCGGAGGTCAAGCTGGGCTCTGCAGAGTCTAGACCTGGAAGGCCAGTACCCATTTCCAGAAAGGCATTCTGGGGTCCCAGTTTCATCTGGGTTGAGCAGATGTTATGGTGGTAGCATTCAGGGCCCTCAGAGGGGTGTCGTATGTATTTCCATTTCACAGCAAGGATTCGATGAGTGCTTTAAAGCTGGTTTCACCCAAGAGGACAGAACCCCCCAGCGAGCGATTGGTTGATACTGATGACAACCAGGAAATATGCCATAACTGGAATTGTCCAGGCAAGGGGCTGGCTGCCTCGGGAGACAAAGAGCTCCTGGAGCTGGGAGAGGTGAAGCGGATTTGGGGGCCCCCTTTATCGGGGGTGCTGCAGTAGTGACTCAGGAAGCCTGCAGTATTGTGTGAAGGCAGTTGGTCTTCCGCTATCTCTTTGAAATACCTTCTTCCAGGCCTGGACAGCTCTCAGTAACCAAGCAGCTGGGGTACTGTGGGGTGACTCAGCATCCTTAGACGTGAGGTTAGAGGCTGAGGGCTCCTGCTGATTATCTCCAGTAGCCTAGCATCATGCGGTTTGGTCCAGATTACTTTAGGGCTTGGTTTGGTTTGGTTTCCATCTGTCTTCTCAGAATCCAAGTCTGAGGTTCTATACAAAAGGCCCAGTGATTTTCATGCAAATGGATGTAGTTTACTTCCCTTCTGTGGATCCTAATCCCCAAAGAACTGTAAGCAAAGAATTCTTCTATCTGGTCCCTTATGCCAGAAACCACAGACCCAGGGCAGGCATTTGGCCTAGTGACTAAGACACCCATGTCCCATATCAAAGAATCTGGGCCCAGCTCCCTGTGGATGCAGACCCTGGGAGGCAGGGGTGAAGGTCGGGTGACTGGGTTCCTGCCACCCATGTGAGAGACCTGGACTGAGTTCTCAGCTCCCAGCTTCCACCCAACCCAACTTTGGCCATTGTGGGCATTTGGGGAATGAACCAGAAGGTGAGAGTTTTGTCTGTTTTTCTATCTTTTTTTTTTTTAAAGATTTTATTTCTTTATTTGAGAGGCAGAGCCACAGACAGAGAGAAGAAGGGACAGAGAGAGAGAGGTCTTCCATCTACTGGTCAACTCCCCAAATAGCCCCAACAGCCAGAGCTGCACTGATCCAAAGCCAGGAGCTAGGAGCTTCCTCCAGGTCTCCCACATGGATGCAGGGGCCCAAGGACTTGGGCTGTCCTCCACTTTCCAGGCCACAGCAGAGAGCTTGATCAAAAGAAGAGTAGCCGGGACTAGAACCAGTGCCTATATGGGATGCTGGCGCTGCAGGTGGAGGATTAACCTGTGCCACAGCGCAGGCCCCTGTCTCTCTCTTTTAGATAGATAGATTAGATACATAGATAGATTAGAGAGGTTAGATAGAAAGACACACAGATAGAAATCATAGGCCCTAGTTCATGCCACAAAAACCCTAAAGTGAGGATGATTGGGGTTCCTGGAACTCACATGAACACAACTGGCCGGGGACCCTATTACTGAGAGTACGTAGAAGCGAGGACTCACTGGCAGCCTGTGCGAAGGCTGAAGCGTTGGTCAGGAGGGAGGAGCCGTGAAGGGCCACTCGTCTGCAAGGCAGAGCTGCCCTGATACGGGTAACGCTGGTATGTGGTTGAACAAGGCAGGAGCCGGGAGTGGACCACTGTGGTTTCAACCCTGATCCACAGTTGCAAACCAAATGATAACCTCAGGCCATTTCTGCATTTTGGCAGGGGGTGGGGTGGAAAATCCTGTAGCATTACTCCCCATCTTACACAGTTTGGAAGATGTTGGTGACATCTATTTCTGCTTCAGCACGTAGGACTTTCTTTTAGGGGGCAGATAACTTCTTAGGGACGCTTTCTCTGAACGCCTCTGTGTCACATGTGCCTCCCGATTGCTGAGTGCTGTTGATTACGGCGACTAGCAGTGCTTATGAAAAACTATTACATTAAACCCTCTGCTTTTCAGTTTTCTTCTAGAACTCTCTTTAGGTAAGACACGCAAGTTTAGAGGGGTTATCAGTTCGAAAGTGTCCTTCTGTATTCTAAAGCATAGTAAGATTAAATAAAAAAATAAAGCTTAGTAAGGACTTTAAACAAAATCATTGTATTTTGAGAAAATTTCCTAGGAAATCTACTAGAGATTCTTTGGGACTGTGGAGCTGGAAGCGCTAATTAAATTCAATTACACAAAGGCCGTCTCCTGTTGAATCACAGCGTATATGCTGGAGCCCTGGTGGTGACAAAGACAATGACATGGCCCAGGCTATTGGGTGCAAAGAGTTTCACTGGGGACATTGCCAAGGGAACACACAGCAGTAAGTGATCATCCCAGGCAGGCGGGTGAGTCACTCAGTCCACCCAGCTGGCGCTGGCACTGGCACTGAGCTGTGCTCTGGCAGTCATTAAACAGGGCTCCTATCAGAACCCCTCACACCCATGAATCTTCCGGTAACACACGCCCCATGGGGGGGGGGCATTCTTAAAACTCCTTTTGAATAAATTTTGGATTTATAAGAAAAGGTTGCAAAAATCGCAAATACAGTTTCCATACAGCCTTCATGCAGGGTAAGTGTTCTTTCCCAAATAAGTCCCCGCTGCACATTGCTGACGTGCTACTATTAATCAGCAGCCAGATCTGACAGGGCTTTCACACTGGGCTATAAATGTCCTTTTTCAGGGCCCGGGATCCTGCATCACTGTGAAGTTGCCATTAGTTTCCGTCAACCTCATCCCAAGAGATTCTTACTTAGTAGGTTTGGGGAGGCTGAGTCTCTTTTTGGAAAGCTTCATAAAGACGCGCCCCTCAATAGGATTCTCTACTTGGGCTTGTAAAGATGAAGGATACTACTAATAATACTCATAACATGGCTATTTCTAATACTAATTAGTAGTTATTGTTTTCTGTGTGCCTGAAGCTGTTGAATTGTGTTGCATTTTCCACCCTTGTAATCCTCATAAAAGCCCTTTGAGTTAGGTCCTGTTTCCCAGCTCCTTCAGAAGGAAAAATTGGGCACGGAGCACTTAACTCACTTGTCTGTGATTATACTGGAGTTGCTAGGTACTGGAGCTAAGACTTGAACTCAACCAGTCTGGCTGAGATCAAGGGCTGTGTTCTCTATCCCCTGGCGAATGACTGCTATGTTTAACCTGCAGAGGCAGCCCAGCAGACAAGATACAGCGCGGGGACAGTCCCAGCTGTGCTCCAGTGGAGTTCTGCCCAGAGGGGAAATACCTCTGGCCCAGGGGGTCTAGGGAACACTTGCCAGGGCAGGTGGCCACTCAGCCTCAGGTGAGGTGTTTGCCTCCTAAGGGGCTAAGGACCATGGCAGAAGACCCTCCCCCAGCAGAGAAAGTGTCTGTGTTTGCCCCAGCTTGGCGACAGAAGGCGCTAGGGAGGGGACCGGAAGGCAGCTGTGGGGGATGGACAGCACCCTGGCGTGTCACGTGTCACACCAAGAGCTTGGCCTCAACCCTGCAGGTGAGAGATCTGCAGCAGGGGAGTGTCGCAGGTGGAGCAGACACATTCTCTCTGCTGGAGTGACATGCCCAGGCGGGAGCGGCCGATCATCCCGACCAGCACAGAGTGGGAAACAGAACCACACTGCAGCTGTCTGTGGGGAGGATGAGGAAGACCAAGGGGGACTCCCCGGGAGCTGAGGGTGAGTGTTCGGCTTTCTGTGGAGGTGGGTGGGAGCTGTCACCAAGTCCCTCGATCATCTTCCCACAGAAGTCCCAGTGGCACAGGTTAAGACTCTCATGTCGGCCGGTGCCGCAGCTCACTGGGCTAATCCTCCGCCTTGTGGCGCCAGCACACCGGGTTCTAGTCCCAGTCGGGGCAACGGATTCTGTCCCGGTTGCCCCTCTTCCAGGCCAGCTCTCTGCTGTGGCCCGGGAGGGGAGTGGACGATGGCCCAAGTGCTTGGGCCCTACACGCCATGGGAGACCAGGAGAAGTATCTGGCTCCTGACATCGGATCAGCGCGGTGCGCCGGCTGCAGCAGCCATTGGAGGGTGAACCAACGGCAAAGGAAGACCTTTCTCTCTGTCTCTCTCTCCCTCAATGTCCACTCTGCCTGTCAAAAAAATAAAAATAAATTAAAAAAAAAGACTCTCATGTCACACACTGCAGTCCCTGGGTTTGAATCTCAGCTCTGCTCAATGCCAGCTTCCACTAATGTGTACCGGGGAAGCAGTAGGCGGTAGCTGAAATGCTTGGGCCTTGACATCATGGGAGAGACTTGGATTGAATTTTTGGCTCCTGGCTTTGTCTTGGCCCAGTCTTGACCACGGTGGGCATTTGAGCAGTACACCAGGGGACAGGAAGTCTCTCTACCTCTCAAATAAATTAAAAATAACTATTTTTTTAAATAAGTAAATTCAGAGACAAGGATTCCAAGGAAGTGGTCTACTGGAGAGGGGGAGGCAACAGCAGAGGGGGAGGGAGGGCCTCCCGCAGTGCGTTGTCCTGCCCATGGCCACTGCGAGGGCCTGAGCTTACTTCGTAGAGGCAACGCTGGACAGGGGTCTGCGTATGCCAGCTCCTGCCAGTCACTGTTGGAGGGCTGCTGCAGGGGTGTGTTAATTCACTGCTCCATCCCCAGCCCCTGAAGGCTACAGAGAGTGCCCCTAGGCAGAGCGATGCCCGTGCTGTGCTTGCCCTTGGAAGTGGCTGGGAGCCCAGCAAAATAGGAGGGTCCCATAGAAAGGGGTGGGGCCGCCGCAGACTGGCTGAGCCAGCAGGTCTTCCAGGGGAGTGATCTAAGGTTTAGGCGGCGAAACTCTGCTACATATTTGGAAGTGCATATTAAGATGGCATAAGGCAATAACCCTCATGAAAGTTTAACTTCTTGGGCATGTATAGTGATAAAAGTGTAGAAAGGGGCTGATTTGCAGGGCGGTCCCTACACAAACTTTTCTGAGAACTCTAAGACCTCAGCACAGGAGAGGCTGGGCTCTGAGGGTCACACCAGGATCAGAGGCACCAGGACAGGGCCAACTGGCATATCCAGAGAGAATTCTGGGAGGATCAAGGAAGACACCAGCAAGGACACGGAGTCTGGCCCACGATCAAGGCTGGTTAGGATTCCAGCTGGCAAAGGTGGCATCCGGGCTGCAACACCGTCTAAGAGCCAGGAGCAAGGTCCAGTGGGGAGCCTTTGGGTTGGTTAGAGGACAGGGCCCAGTGTAGGCAAACCGGATGCTGAAGCTATGGAGGTTGGTGTGAGTCTAGGGGGAGCCTTCCAACGCCGGATTCAGGCACCGAGGGCGACCAGGAACTGGGTAAAGCTGCTGCGAAGGGGAGGGCATTGATGAGGAGCAGTACCACTGGAGCACTGAGCTGGTGCAGCTTTTAAAATCAGATTAATCTGAGGACAGAGAGGTCGGCGGCCAGGACACCTTATGAAAGCTCAAGTCATAAGAGAGTGGAGAAGGGAGGGAGCGGTGGGGGTGGGGGCAGGGGGAATGCAAGGGACTAATAGGTGTGCAAAAGGCGGCAAGAGAAAGATCAGCAGATAAGGGGGTTGGTTAGGTGGGGGAGGTAGTGCCAAGAATAGGGATGGCATTGTGGACAACACAGAGGCATCAGGAGATGGGACGGCCATGCAGGGGAAGCAGGTGAGTTTGGAGCAATAAACCTTGAGTGCGGGTGCCGTGTGGCAAATGCTATGCTCGGTGCTTTGGCGAGTCCAAAGATGAATCATACCCATGTTCTCTACTCCTAAGAAACTTCTGTCTACTGAGAAATTAAGACACATTCTTAAGTAACGGTAACACAGGGAGGAATAGGGAGTGTAACCAGAGAGATTCAGATAATAAAGTGTCCGAAGTGCTCCGAGGAGGGATGGATCCCTTTCAGCTGCAGGGATTAAGGAAGGCTGTGTGGAGGATTTTAGTCAGAGCCCAAAATAGGTAGGATTTGGACAGGTCGAGAGAAGAGTGCTCAGCGGAGCGGACGTCAAGGGCAGGGGGATAACAGTTTAAAGACAAGTGTGGGCTTGCTGGGAGCCCCCTGGTGGCTCACTTTCAGCACAGTGTGCACCCAGGGCGGCAGTGGAAGGCGAAGTTGGGAGAATCTGGGGCCATATAAAGAGCCTCCCCTGCTGGGTGACGCGGAAGGTGAGTTTCATTCACAGCTGTGGAAGGCTGCTCACCTGGGAGCGTCACTGTCAGGGTTGCGAGGGTGAGGTGGGGTGAGGGAGGGGAGGGCCGGAAGTCCAGGCAGGTGATCACGAGAGGCAGGAGATGATGAGGCCTCCACCAGAACCCCGTGAGCGCGGGGCACAGGATCTATTTCGGGAAGACTAATGAGCAGGAGGGTTCGGTCAGATGAGTTAGTGAGCCAGAGGATACCCTCATGAGATAAGCATACTCTTCCAATTTCACGGTGCACCTCTGAAGCGTAGAGCCAAGGCTTGGCTTGACTTTCCGAGGCAGATTCAGCAGAGCCGGCCAGTCTTGAACATGTCTCGTGGGTTAATTCGTTCAGGTTGCCTTGCTTTCCGAAGCTTTCATTCTCACATGGCGATGCCTCATTCTCAGTGGGAAGCTTTAGGCACATCCAAGGGAGCTCTTGCTTGAAGAGCCCTGAGATGCATTCGTCCAATCACTCTATAAGTAATTTTACCCAGTGAAAGTGTTTACTGCCGTGCAACAAAAGTTTGCTTCAAATGACCTTGAAGAGACTTGGACGGCTGCCCTTGTTAAGTATGAGCAGATGGAGCTATGTGTGCAGACGGTAAGAGAACTTATTTTGAGCTCTTGAAAAAACCACGTCTCCTACCAGTGTCAGAACAAGCATCAATTTATGGTCAGGCCCTGTGCTGACGTACACAATGGGAATCTTATTTTATCCCCGAAAAGCAGTCCTTCTTTATGAAGGTATATGAACGTGTGCCCTGTTTTCCCTGCGAATCCAAGAGTTTTTGTTTGAATTTTTAACATTGAAGAGATTTTGAATTTGCAGTTTGAGGTGGTGCCATGAATTCCTATGATAGTTAGAAGTGTAAGAAAGTCCTGGGTCCAGGAGAACCCACGAGGGCACCATCACAAGCATGCCTCCTGCCGAGCGTATTTCCCATCAGCACAGCACCGGTCCAGCTTCTTGTGTGTTCCCAGGATGCTGCCACACCCTCCCCACGAGAGGGAGTCCATGTCCTCCTCCATCTGGGGAGGAGGGGGATTTTGTAACTGCCTCTCATGACGCGCACCTTTGGGACTGAGCCGCCGTGTTGTAAGGAGGCCCAGGCCATGGGGCAGGGTCAGGTGAAGATGTTGTAGCCAACAGCAGTGGACAAGCTGGCAGCCAGCCTCAACTACCCATCATATACGTTGGGCTGCAGGTGATTCCACACCTGCCGGCATCTCGGCTGAAGCCAAGAACAGAGGCAAGCCATGCCCACACAGCACTTCCCAAACTGCAGAGTCATGGCCCAAACGCCTCCCATTTTAATAGGAACTAGGAGAGTCCCTTGCTGCCTAGATAGGAGTGGCTAGTGCTGCGTGGTGTGCTGGAAGTCTTGACCTTAAACAGTCTGGACAGCACCTAAGAAACTTGGAAGAGTCACAGAGGAGATAGGAGGGCGCTCCACACAGTTCATGGACACATATATCATGACAAAATTACGCATGCATTGAAAAAATGCACCAAAAAGAAATGCACAATTTCATTGTACTTTTCCATGAACTTTTTTTTTTTTGGACAGGCAGAGTGGACAGTGAGAGAGAGAGACAGAGAGAAAGGTCTTCCTTTGCCGTTGGTTCACCCCCCAGTGGCCACTGCAGCTGGCACGCTGCGGCCAGCGCACTGCGCTGACCCGAAGCCAGGAGCCAGGTACTTATCCTGGTCTCCCATGGGGTGCAGGGCCCAAGCACCTGGGCCATCCTCCACTGCCCTCCCGGGCCATCGCAGAGAGATGGACAGGAAGAGGAGCAACCGGGACAGAATTTGGCGCCCCGACGGGGACTAGAACCCAGTGTGCCAGTGCCGCAGGTGGAGAATTAGCCTATTGAGCTGCGGTGCGGGCTTCCATGAACTTTTAAAAAAGACTTATTGATTTATTTGAAAGGCAGAGTGACACAAAGAAGGAGAGAGACAGAGAAAGAAATGTCTGGCCTGCTGGTTTACTCCCCAAATGGCCACAATAGCTGGGGCTGGGCCAGGCCAAAGCCAGGGGCCAGGAACTCCACCAATGTCTCCCACATGGGTGGCAGGGGCCACCTTCTGCTGCTCTCTCATGGGCATTAGCAGGAAGCTGGATCAGAAGTGGCACAGCTGGGGCTTGAGCTGGGCTCCCAGCATCACAGGCAGCAGTTTAACCCACTGCACCACAACGCTGACCTCAAGATGATCTTTCTGAAGTTCCCTTCTGTGTAGTGGTCTTGGCCACAGGGAACCTCCAAGGTGGCTGGAAAGTCATTCATCTGCAACGGAAGCAGAACCTCCTCACGTCCATCTGCCTAGGCAGGAGCAGGCAGTGCAGCAAGACTCATGACGCTGGAGAGGAGGGGGTAGTCAGCGACAAACACCCATTTTTTTTTTTTTTTGACAGGCAGAGTGAGACAGAGAAAGGTCTTCCTTTTCCGTTGGTTCACCCCGCAATGGCCACTGGGGCTGGCACACCATGCTGATCCAAAGCCAGGAGCCAGGTGCCTCTCCTGGTCTCCCATGCAGGTGCAGGGCCCAAGCACTTTGGGCCATCCTCCACTGCCCTCCGGGGCCACAGCAGAGAGCTGGACTGGAAGAGGAGCAACCGGGACAGAATCCAGCGCCCCAACTGGGACTAGAACCCGGTGTGCCGGGTGCCGCAAGGCAGAGGATTAGCCTATTGAGCCGTGGCGCCAGCCCAAACACCCATTTTTAAAGAGACCTCAGCCATAGATCCTTGAAATGGACATTGCCTACAGGCTCTGGGGAGGGTAAACAAAGTAGGAGAAGCAAAAGACATTTTTGTTTTCTGTTGCAGAGTAGGAAAGGTTGAAGGTAAGGGTGCACTAGCAGTCAGTGAAGAGGGATGACGTGGGCACAGACCCCTCTGGCTGGAAATCTGACTGTAATGGCAGCTACAGGG